ACGATGAGTTATAAGTACTCAATATAAACTTTCTTAGCGCTGAATTTTTTAAATTTTTCTCAATAGAGAACAATACATTCTTTAAGAGTAAAAACGAACATCAGGGCTAGAAAGGGTCATCACATCAATAGTACATTTGTTCACCACATGATGTTTTACAAAAGAGAGACCCCACCTTCACGTGAACTCCACCCAATCATTATTTAGTCCAAAATACTACTTTAATATCAACGAACAACATCCAATCTGTTCCAAGTTCCAGTCCACCATCTCAACTTCTTCATCAGCTTCATCAAATGCCCTCAAATTCTAGTAGGGACGCTCGCCCTCATAGTTACCAGGAGGATCGTAGCTGCAGATGACAAACACCCAATTGTTGTCGCACTTAGCCCTAGCACACCCAAGATGAACCGAGTTCCGCCAAACCACCTGAGTATAATGCCCACATTCATCCCCAACACATTTGTTGGAGCCGTAGTCGTAGTTTGGTTTCTCAGTCACCCAAAACTTAACGGCCTGAGAGCCCGTCATTTCGCCATAGCCTTCTGCCAAGTTTTCGCCATAAGGCCCTCCCGAGTGCTCCATGTCACACCCTCTGATTCTTGTGTTGGCATAGTTCTGAGCGTAGGCTGCTACAGTGTCATTCCATCGGATTGGACCGACGCCGACTGCTGCTCGAGCTCTGTTGTGTTCGTCAACGAAGTCTTGGTGGGGGTTCGAGGGGTTCGGGGCATAACCAACTTTTCGGGCTAGGGAGACTTGAGCGGCTAAGAGTAATGCAATGGAGCATATGGATAGAGAAAGGTTGCTAAACCCCATAGTTGTATATCTTTGTGAAAGACCCAAAGTGGAATACTAGATAATCTTAACACAAATGGGGCATGGGATTTTGGTATTTATAGAGAGAAGAGAAGCTTAGGCTCAAAGCTTGCTTTTACACATCTTAAGTAAAGAAAGAACAAATACACGCAAGGAGTCCGACATATACATATGTGCTCGTAGCAAACAGTTTATTGTCGAACAGATGAACCAATAGTCCGTTGCCAACGATGTAGATCAGTTGGGAAAAAACAGAAAAACCTAATAAACTGTTTGCTACTTAGTAACAACCAACCGAATAAAGCTACTTGGCAAAAGGGCATATGCGCCTTTGGCCATACCTACCTGCAAGATGCCCTGTGATACTTTTCTAAGATATAATTAATCTCAGTATGAATGATTGAATGGCATATACGGCCGTCCCAAACTTGTGTTTTTTATTATTATTTTGCAGCCGAAACATATGCCAGAGATTCAGAGAGAAGCATAGAAGTTTGAAGAATTCTAATTCATCATGTCAAGCTAAGTCACGCTTGGAACAGTGAGGTGATCATGTGAATTCTCATGTCATTATCTTTGCTAGATTTTCTTTGTGACTTTTGGCATTACATTTCACAGATCCGGCAATGACTTTTTCTCACTAAGTATAGTTTAATTATTTGTTATAAGTAACTCAATTATTTGCCTTGTTTTTTTAATCAACAGAATACATGTGATTCGAACTTTGAACATAGTCGGAAATGAGAAATATGACTAGACTAATAAGAGTTAGTTGGTAATCTGTATTGCAAATTAAGATAACAACCGTATAAAAAAAATTTTAAAAAAAGAAGCGGCGGGATGAGCAAGAACAAGAATGCTAGACAAAGTCACAAAATTCAGATGATACTTTGTATCTTGGATTGTATTAATTCAGAACCATGCTTGCTTTGCAAGTAGAGGAAATTTGGGACATGATATCAGGGCCACTTTTGTGCAACCAGACATGGATTTCTTCCTTTTTTTAAATCAATTATAGAGTTGAAACTTATGGTAAAGTAACGTTGAGAGTCACGGTATCAGCGGCCAATTTTTTGGGGAGCAAATTGACCGCAAAACCAGGAATTTTCTGTTGGCAGAAGAAAGGACTTTCTATTCTTTTGACATCCCTTACCCTTTTTATGAAGACTTTCGTATTCATTCTGATGTGAAAAAAAATTGATCATGATGTCGCCAAGTGATTAAGTTTTCTTCTTAATAGAGCTGCACGTTTTATTTTTTATTTTTGGTTTTAAGGAGACTTGAAGTCTAGAAAGAGGGAGGATAATATTTTCAAACTTATTGATAATATTGTCAGTGGTCTAGTCTAATGAAGAATGACCTTAACTTGTACATACCAGTGGTCTCAGGTTCAAACTTCCATGACACATTGGTTTTGCAAATCTTTCAGAGCTTTGACTAGTCTAGCTTTGCTTTCCAAAACTCCAATGACGAAAGAGGATGATTCATTGCAAATATGCAGAGAAAAAATTATAGTTAAATATATAACTTTGATCACAATCTAGCCCCAATTAAATTCAAATACCAATAAACAATAATTTTTGCTGCAGTAAACAAAATAACTATATTGTAAAAAAAAAACCCCAAACATCTTAGCCCTAATTTCAACCCGAATTTCAATTTTCTGCAAAGCCGAGCAATAAGAGAAAGAACCCTCCAATCTGAGTAAAGGGAGCCATTCACATATACTACACAGTTTCAGAAAAGAAGAAGAAAAAGAAGGGAAAATAAAGGAAGAGATAAAGGGCAGAGGCGAGGTGAGAGAAGACTTCAAAGAAGAAAAAAGAAATAGAAAATGACTTCTTGGAGAGAGAAAGAAACTGTTCTATATGCATCTTCTCTAATCTGTCAAGTGAAACATGTCCATTTCTTTCAAATGCTTAAAATGATCCAATGTCTTAAACTAAGTTTTCCATCCACAATGTCATCACTACTTTGAAAGGTAAATTCATATAATCACCTACATGAAACTCCAAGTTTCTAACTCCAAGTTTCTTCTTCTCTAATAACCATAACTTTCTTGTCCAACACACAAGCTCAAAGCATATCATACAAATTTTGAATCACTGCATCACAGAAACTCTATCACATTTCCTATCTATACAAACTACAAAAGTACAAACCTTATGCATGACAACACAACCTTCAGTCCAAAAACATAGCTTTTGCATAGAATGCAGGGCAACCTAATGCTCTGATACCATATTGTCACACTCCAAATTCACTAAAAGAACAATTAGATTTATCTCATTACATAGCTGTATTTGAACTACCAGGATCCAAAAGTACAACATTACAATCCAAAGTCTCCCAAATCCAAAACATCTTCGTTAGTGCAGCAAAAAATCAGAAATGAGCCAATCTTCTATTCCGAGCTAGTCTGAAATGGAAGAGGAAAGGGTGAGCTACAAAGCTCAGTAAGCAACTATAAATATATATGGCCACCAATGAGTATGAGGATCACAACTATATAATATCTCAAGATAGGACTGAAAAGAGTACACAAAATGAAACTGAACAATTCAAGGGCTGCAACACAATTCATAGTCAGAAATCAGAGAAACAATATCAATGAGATAGCTTCTATAATCCTCATTAGGGTTTCCAATGAGGCCATATTCCCATGATGGTCACATGGGCCTTATTACCAACTGGCCAGCGGTCCTAACTCATTCAAAAGAAGGCACAAACACTGTAATGTGAAAAAATAAGCTGAGACTATAGTCTCCAAACACAAAATATCTTCTTAATGAAGAGAGCAATCCTAGAGTTTCTTAGCTTCAGTTCTTCCTTTCCTAGCAACCTAGAGCTGTGTTTTCATTCTAACTATAATATCTTTACAGACAACTCGTTTGCTTTTTGGCTAAGGTTTGACGTTTAGCATGCCTAATTTTGAGCTTTGGTGGGCTTCGTGTTGTTGGTGGGCTTTTTACATTGAGTGAGCTTTCTGCATAGTTTGGCCATTGGTTGGCTTTTCTTTAGGATTTTTTTATTGTTTTTGTTAAACTAATTTCTTATTTAGCTCTCTTTTGTGTTTCTTAATGAAACTTTATTTCTGAACAAAAATATAAAACCTCATGACTACATGTCTAAATTTGGATTCCACATCTAGTAAGATTTCATGATAAACACTTAGCTCTACATTTATATAACTTAGCTCTCGCGTTTCTATTTGGTATAACTTCGCTCTCGCGTTTCTAGTAAGATTTCATGATAAACACTTAGCTCTACATGATAAAAAAATTATAGTTAAATATATATCCTTGTTCACATTTATATAACTTCGCTCTCGCGTTTCTAAATTTGGACCCGCCTTGCTATTAGGTGGTCACATGTCAAAATAGGAGCAAAGGAAAGCACTGGAAGATAGATTGCTTTATGTCAATGTTATCACCTCCTCCATATGATCGATGAAGTTGATACTTAGTCTGTCAATGTAATGGCACAAGAAGACTGGATGATGATCGTTCACAAAATTCACGAGAGCTAGCATATATCTATATATATATATATATAGAGAGAGAGAGAGAGAGAGAGAGAGATTTGTCATTTTCTCTTTCAAAGCCTAATAATAGGGTTTTGCTTTATTAAGTTACTTTCACCGTCCATCATATGGCCTTGTCTCGATCAAATCACGTTTTCCTCATCAAATACTTTGCACATTGAGATCCAGTTAAATTAAGCAAAGGATTGACAAGTGTTGGATCAAAGTTTTTTTTATAAAATTAAATTAGTCTCATTCAATATCACTGCAACTTTATCCATGACATGAAAATGAGAGAGAGAGAGAGAGAGTGTGTGTGATGGTTTAGGGCTGACCTTTGGCCACATGTACATACAAAACTACACATCAATTATGAATAGAGTGCACACATCATCTTCATCATGAAAGGAGGAAGTTGAGATGGCCAATCATGACTTTCAAACGATGGAACACTTATTTTACAAGTTCAGAAAAAATTTATAAAACCGAGTATAAAAAAATTTATAAAAAAAATTCAGAAAAAACCGAGTATAATCAAAATACGAATTTTGAATATAAAGCAACCCGAGTATAGCCGCTCGGCGATACTATTTTTTAATCCCTTGCCATTTTAAGTAGTTTCCATATCGCATCTTACAAGATCTTACTCTGTCCTTGTGTTATTGAGTCTTATCGATTTTGGTTTTCTCTTCATTGCAAATATATTCAACACTTGCTTTCCCTTTCCTCTAAGAGTCGTTTAGCATTTGATTTCTACCAAGTAATTGCAGATTACCAGAGAGTTAATTAATAAAGCCACCTATGGATTCTAGGTTTATTTCTCGTCTCTCTGCATGAAATTATTTTGTGTTCATTACAAAAATTTGATTTTAGTTTAGGTTGCATAGGGCTCGACTTTTGAGGCTCTGAATAAGTTGCATTGTGAGAATTACGTAAGTAGATCTATTTTATAAGGGATTGAATAAGTTTGTCTTTTTGGATTGATCCAGGTGCCTCCACCAGGTAAAGGGTCATTATATGTTAGGCCTCTGCTTCTAGGAAGCGGCCCTGGTCTGGGTATTGGGCCAGCCCCTGAATACGCATTCCTCATATTTGCCTCTCCCATTGGCAATTGGTACAAGGTGAGCAGAGGGCTCCCTGGTGGAACAGGAGGGATTAAAAGCATCACCAACTATTCACCTGTAAGCAAATTAGCTCTCTTGCATAATAAGAATGGATTGGCTGGCAGAGATCTGCTCGAAGATCTGTTTGGCGTTGTTATTTATTATGTGTTAAGATTTTACCTAAATGATTTTTTTGCTACAATTTGCTATAGGTTTTTGAAGCAGTAAGCAAGGCTAAGGCCAAGGGGTTCACTGATGTCCTATTTCTGGAGGCAGCCACTGGGAAAAATGTTGAGGAGGTTTCTTCATGTCATGTTTTCATTGTGAAGGTAGTACTTATTACAGTTGTCATAGCTTGGCCTCTTATCTTATACCAAATGTTCAATTCCCGGACATTTCAACATATTATGTTGTTAGACTGTCAATTTAAATTACGCATCCAAACAAGAATTTCATTTTTGTACGATTCAAATTATGAGTATGATAAACTCAATCACATTATCATGTGTTGTAGGGTAATGTGGTTTTAACTCCACCGACCAATGGAACTAGTCTTCCAGGGATCACAAGAAAAAGCATCATAGAAATTGCTCTTCATCTCAATTTCCAGGTAATTAAGCAGCTCTTCCCCCCGCCGCCCCCTCCAAAGAAAAAAGCCAATTTACTCAAAATGTTGAGCCCTCAAAATTGACTTTGGAAAATCCTAAGCGTCAATTTAGTTTGCTTTTTAAATATATATATTTTTTATTTGAAGAAATGGTGCCATTTGGGTTGAAAAATGAAGGCATGCCTTGATCTTTTCTTACGTAAACTTCTTCACGTTCACTTTTACAAGACTTATCTTAATGGGAGGATTCGCAGCCGGCGGATATTGACAAAAGAAATGTGCGGCTCCTATTTTGCTAACCTTTCTTTTCTTTTTTATCCAAAAACTTTTCTTTGTTAGTGGTTGAGTTATTGTTTTCGTAAGATATTGAGCTGTTGACTGATATCCTTTATAATATAGCGAAATTAGTCATGATATTTAATAATAATATATTTAATTACCGATTAATTTTTTACAGTCATAATTCAAACTCATTACAAATATATATTGTGCTCGCATTCAACCAAAGATGAGATATTTTCCAATCAAATTATTGCAAAGGCTAGTTGGTATACAGTTAACTCCATATAAAAGATAGCATCCTTCTGCTGTTTGCACGCAAGCCCCGCCACTTTCTTTGTAGTCTCTCCAGTTCGTAAGTATCATACTCTCTCTCTCTCTCTCTTTCTCTCATTCTCGCTCATCTGCATATTCTGTTAAGAAGTGTTTGTTCATTTTTCTGAATCTACTTTTAAGTTAATTATTTTTGTAGTTCTGATTCAGAAGACAAAATTAGATAAATAAATTAGTTTTGTAGTTTAATTTTATTATTTTACTTTGGAAATTCATTCTTCCCACTTCTTCACCCTTTTGAAGGTACAATAAAAAATTCTTCTGATTACATTTTTGCAAGCAAAAAGAACACAACTGTTTGAAACAAAACCCCAACTCACACAAAACCTTTTTAAGTATCATACTCTCTCTCTCTCTCTCTCTCTCTCTCTCTCTCTCTCTCGCTCATCTGCATATTCTGTCAAGAAGTGTGTGTTCATTTTTCTGAATCTACTTTTAAGTTAATTATTTTTGTAGTTCTGATTCAGAAGACAAAATTAGATAAATAAATTAGTTTTGTAGTTTAATTTTATTATTTTACTTTGGAAATTCATTCTTCCCACTTCTTCACCCTTTTGAAGGTACCAAAATGTTAATCCCTTTTTTTATAAGGAAAAAACTCTTCTGATTATCTTTTGGCAAGCAAAAAGAACACAACTGTTTGAAACAAAACCCAACTCACACAAAACCTTTTTCTCAATACACTTCTCACCAAAAATGGTGTTCTCTCATAAATTACTTACTCAATTTTAAAATTAACAATCTGACAAAGTGTGATCAGTTTCTTTTTTGCAGCTGGTGTAAGACTTTATCCCATATTAATTTGCAGCCATGCCTCCTTCCCCTGCTCTGCAAGCAATTTCTGAATCTGCTGTTCAAGGGTGATTTATATGATTTATATATACATAGTGTGTTAAGCTCTGTTAATTTTATCTCTTATACATATCTTTATTTATGGATGAAATTAAGTGCAGTCATGAAGCAGACGAAAAGTATGGTGATGCCATGAACTGGGATGAACTTGAATTTGGAGTAATTCCAACCGATTACATGTACATTATGAAATGTTCCAATGGAGATGACTTTTCCCAAGGCCATCTCACTCCCTATGGGAAAATTGAACTCAGCCCATCTGCTGGAATCTTGAATTATGGACAGGTTATACTTTAATTAAACACAATCTAATAACTAGGTTCGAAATATAAGAGATTGTAGTGTAGTAGTTAATAATATTTACCCCATACGGTGGTGACATCAGGGAATATTTGAAGGTCTTAAAGCGATCAGGACCAAAGACGGTCGTATTCAGCTGTTTCGGCCTGAAGAGAATGCTCTCAGAATGAAGATGGGTGCAGAGAGATTGTGCATGCCATCTCCATCTACTCACCAATTCCTTGATGCTTTAAAGCAAACAGTCCTTGCCAATAAGCGTTGGGTATAGGCACTTTCACTCTAGACCCTATACTTTTGGAAATTACAACATGACCACTTAATTTTCAATATGGTTTTACAGGGGTGTCCATGAATTCTGAAATCTTTTTTTTAATCTCTTGGATATATATGTATGTATGTATGTATAGGTACCACCTCAAGGGAAAGGAGCTTTGTATATTAGGCCATTGCTCATGGGAAGTGGCCCTGCTCTTGGCCTTGGGCCAGCACCAGAGTACACATTCCTAGTATATGCTACTCCAGTTGGTAGCTATCACAAAGTAAGTTGTTATTAGTTCATCAAAAAAAAAAAAAAGTAAGTTGTTATTAATTGGTTTTAGATTGGATGATTTAATTTGTCATATGATATCAGAGTGAATAATTCATTCACGTATTATTAATTAATTTTGAGTCGGATAATGATAAAAAAATCTCGGGTTCTTTTCTAATTTGTATTCTTATTGCTTAGATTTTTTTAATTGGTCTGTTATCTTCTTATTAATATATGATCACTTGATTTTCTCCATGTAACCTCAGTGTGGCGCCACCATGAATTTGTACATAGAGAATGAGGTTCGTAGGGCCATTCCTGGTGGAACTGGAGGCATCAAAAGCATCACCAACTATTCACCAGTAATCAAACTAGCCAACTTGCATAATGAGAAAGAACCCTTTTTTCTTTTTTGAAGATCTTGATCGTATTGGATTCATCGGAATAACTTTTATTTTTGCTCCAATTACACTACAGGTTTTTGAAGTAGTGAAGAAGGCCAGGGCCAAAGGGTTCACTGATGTCCTGTTTCTGGATGCAGCCACTGGAAAAAATATTGAGGAGGCTTCTATGTTTAATATTTTCTTTGTGAAGGTATTACTGATGTTTGTTGCTTGTTTTTTTTTTTTTTTTCTTGTTTCATATTGCATGTGCAAGTAATTTTCTGAGTTATTAAAATGTTTTCAAACCGCCGAAAGGGAATAAGAGCGTAGAAAATCGTTCTCTTATCAATCAATATGATATGTTACATTGCCGGATTTTCACGTTGAATTACACGTTTAAATAAACTCCCTTGCTGGTTAAAAATTACATTCACAGTCTTGCAATCTATCATGCCGGATTATAACAAAACAAAAGTAATCTAGCAAGTATGTGATGAACCAACAAGGCTTGAAAAAAGAAAAAGGAAGATACAAGTTTTCGATCGGTCTGACAATTTTTTTCACTGTTTGTAGGATAATGTGATTTTAACTCCACCGGCCAATGGAACTATTCTTCCAGGGATCACAAGAAAAAGCATCATAGAAATTGCTCGTGATCTGAATTACCTGGTAACCACCCCTTGTTTTCCCCAAATTACTGCTTGGCTTGTTATATTTCACAATTTACAAGGCAATCAATAATGTTTGACTTGTATGAAAAGCGATTCCATAATTGTGATTTATCATAGCAACCTCTAAAAGCATGTTTTTTTTAAAATTGGTTAAGGTGAAGGAACGTGATGTTCCCCTAGAGGATGTGTTGGCTGCCGATGAAGTTTTCTGTACTGGGACTGCAGTGGAAGTCACTGCTGTTGCTAGTATAACATATCAAGATAAAAGGTAGGTACATGTGTTTGGGAATGATTTTGGTTTATCAAAAGCGTTTTTAATTATCTTTGACAAAAATAGAGTAGTTTGTTTGAGAGTGTTTTTAGAAGTGTTTCCGAATTATAAAAACAAGCATTTCCGAGTGATTTTCGACATGCTTCTAATAAAAGCACTTCCACTAACTGTGTTTCAGTACATCAAAATGGTTCAAATGAAACATATCCACAAAATACTTGAATTTTTAATTAACAAAAACACTGCTGAGGAAAAGATTTCCTTTAAAAAAAACACTTTGAAGCAGGCCACAAATACACGAGCATTTCCTATTTTATCCTTGGAATTTAATAGCTAAAAATGGATTATGTTGATGCAGAATTGAATACAAATCAGGGGAAGAAACTGTGTTCCACAAACTGCGTGTAGTGCTTAAAGAGATTCAAACAGGTGTGGTTGAGGACAAGATGGACTGGACCATGCTCATTGATTGAATCAAGCTAGCTAGCTGCTTCATCTCTATATCTCATTGCCAATGAAGCTTCTTCTCTAGCTATGCACACAAAGATGTTCTTTGATTTCAATTGTTATTGCAAGCACTAAATCTTGTTTTCTTTTTTGTCATAATATTGACCTTATTTACAAATAATTGAATCCACAAGTATTAAACCTTAGTGGTTCAGAAAAAGTTTATTTCGACATCGATGTGGATTGAGAACAAATGGATTTCTTGTTGCTTTTTTTTTCCCAAAGTGTTTTTTTCTATGGTTGCTTGAAAACGGAGAGTTGATACTTTAATCAAATTTCTTTGGCAAAAAAAAATACTTTAACCAAATTTTAAATAAATAAAGAGAGAGAAACTAGTTTTTGTTTGAATAATATGCAAAACTATAATATAAATATCATAACCAATCACATCCACCCAGAAAATCCACACAAGGCACGTCGAGGGGTAAAAATATATTTTCCCGAACATTGACCCAGCCTTAACCAATCAGAACTTGCCACATGAATAGAAAGAAAGATAAAAAACTATATTCAATTGGTACGTACCACATTCAATCCCACTCTCTATTTCACCATACCTTTTTTTTAAAGT